TTCTTGTTTCTTGGCCCTCCTGGCTGTAACCATTCTCTCACTTGTACTGCTTCCTTGTGGGTGGGTGTGGGCATGGGCGTGGTTTGGAGTGTGACTTTGGATTGGTTATGGGGGTGGGTGGGTGTGTGAGAATGGTTACGTGTGTGTTCGTGCGCTGTATGGCAGGACAAGAAGGAGTGCTTCGCTGCATGCCTGTACACGTGCTACGATCTGCTGCGCCCAGACGTGGTGGTGGAGCTGGCATGGCTCAACAACATGCAGGACTATGTCATGCCCTACCTCATCCAGGTGCCGCACCACTCTCTCCTCTCCTCATTCTCCGTTTCCTCTTTCAAGCTGTTCCCTCCCTGGCATGTGTGCTGTGTTTTGTGTACTTCAGCTCTGCCTATGGAGAGTTGTATTGTGTCATCACTCGTGTGGCCTCTTATTTGTGTGCCCTGTGTGTCCCACTGCGTGCGCGCTGCAGTTTGTGCGTGAGTACTCGAGCAAGGTGGACGAACTGGTGAAGGACAAGGAGGCAGCCAAGAAGGAGGTGGAGAAGAAGGCGAAGGAGGAGAAGGAGGTCATCGCCCAAGCGGTGAGATGCCCAAACCATGCCATCTTGCTCAGTCACAAACAAAATCATATGTTAATTCCGTTTTCTGCTTCCTGTGCTCTGTCAGAATCAATCTGATGTTTTGTGGCGGTCGTATTTGTGTGCGCTGTGCAGAACATGTACCAAACGCTTATGCCACTCGCGTTGCCAGCGCCTCCCATGCCCGGTCAAGGCATGGATGGTGGTGCGTTCGGTGGTGCCCCTCCCATGCCGGCCTATGGCATGCCGCCCATGTACTGAGCGGGTCAACATGATGTGGACCGATTAGTAGCTCCAGCTTGCGATATACTGCATTACGTTGTTTAGAGTTTATTGCTAGGTGAGCCAGACACCAAAATTCCATCTGCAAACAGGGATCTGTTTCATGCTGTACAAGGAACAAAATTCAGCTTTGTTGAACCTACTTCTGACTTTTTTGGCTCAATGAAATTAGGCCTAGTTTGCATTTCCTAGCTCATCCAGGTTGTAAGCAATGGCAGAAGAGTGCAGACATCCATGTGGACAAAGCTGCTTTACACTTGAAACACAGCATATCCTGCTAACTCCCTCCCATCAGTCTCCACAGGCATGTGGACTCTGCTCCAGCTGTATCTCAAACTACTTGCAGACTGACATCTGGCAATCCGTCTCCTCCCAGAATCTGTTGCACCAACAACAGCCCTACTGCCGCCCAGGAAACCGCCACCCACCCTTTCCTCAGCTGTCGCTTCAGAGAATTCCAAGAAGCTGGCATTCGCCTTCACCTTCCCCGTTACCCACAGCCACTTCTCTTGCCATGTGTCAATCACACAGAGCTTGCCATCCAGAGACACTAAAAAGTAGCACTGGCGGAACGACCCTGCCCACCGGTGGCGTGAGGGCAGCGGAACGGCCGGCTCCCACTGCTTGCTCTCCAGGTTGTACTCATGTATCATGTTGCGATCTAGCGTGTAAAACCTCCCGTAACATGTAACCACGTTGGACACTTCAAACCCTCCACCACCACCCCCACCCGCCTGACCAGCTTCAGCAGCACCACCCGCAATTGCCCTTCTTCCTCCCGCTTCAGCCCCCCTTTCCCTTCCCCCTTCCTCTTCTCCTCCCCTCCCTTCCACGTCCCCTTCCCCCCCTCTCCTTCCCCTTCCTCCCTCGGCCTCAACCGCTCCCCCTAATCCCACATCTTCCGCTCTCCCCGCTGCTCCTCCCCCGCCTTCACCCCCTCCCACGCCCGCGCCCGCGCGCGTGACGCCGAGCATGGCGAGGTTGCTGTCCTTGACGAGCGCCCACTCGTCGCGCGTGAACACGAACACCTTGTGGCGGAACGCACGGCAGTGGAAGCTGCGCACCTTGCACTTGGTGTGCCGGTACTCCGTCGAAAGCGGCGCCCATTTCCGCGAACCTTCGTCGAGGATTTTCAGAACCAGCCGGCCGTGGGCCTTGTCGAGAAACGAGACGCACAGAAGCTCTTCCAGGATCTTCTCCCGCTGCCGGATGTTGTATATCGTGCCGCCGCGAAACGCGTCGCGCCAGGACTTGCAGACGAGGCCGAGGCGGAGGCGGCGCATGTAGGGCACGCGGGCGAGGCAGCGAATGGCGATTTCGTTTGGCAGGCCGGGGATGAGCAGGCGGTCGTCGATGGCGGACTCCGGAAACGCGTGCGCCGCGTCGTCCTGCGTCGTTATGACGACTATGCTCGCCATGGCGCGGTGCGAGGATGGCGGTGACTTTAGGAAAGGTGGATTTAGGGGAAGAATTTGGTACGGGGTGCTGTGAATACTGTCAACGAGAACCAGGGTTCCTAGCAGAGAAACAATAACGAATTTGTTACGTGCCGAGCGACTCGATCATTGATAGGCGACTTGACAGGAAAGCTGATTCTAAGAGGAACACACCTAAGCAAGAACCACGCTCGTACCATATGACCCGAGGTGGGTAAGAATGGGGAAAGGAGACAGGTGATATGGGGATGGGGAGGGAGGATGCTTGCAGGTGCTTCGCCCTGTGCGCAAGCTGATCGTTTATTACGGTTTGGTAGGATTTAACACGTTAAACAGCGGTTGTGTTTGTTTAGCACCCTCGACCGCAATGCAACGAAGAAAAGCGTGGTTTGCGAAAGCAAACGAAACATGCACGACACCCGCTCGTCGTGAGGACAGATGAGGGCGAGGCGAGGGAGGGAGACAGTCAGGGCGTGTCTTGTTAGGCGGAAGTACATTCATTTTCGGGTTCTATTACCCGATAACATCTTGTAGCACGTGCAATTGACTTGCGAGCGAGACTGCCCTTCTGGATTCGTTTCTTGCGTAGATATTTTTACCGCTCACGAGTTTTTGTTCGGGCGAGACTGTATGTCGGCGTGAAAGAAAGTGGGTTCGCGTCAGGCGGACACAAACCAGTTTCTGTGCGTGCGGACAGCAGTTTTAGAAAAGAAAAGAAAAAAAACCACAATTACGTAAAGAAAAATTCAATTGGCCAAAATACACCCGGCAAGACACGCCCTCAAGGGTGCGCAGCGCAAAATGAGACACCAACGAGGTGGTGCAGAATGGCCGCGTGGGTGCTGCTGCTGACGGAAACAGACGGACGGATGGGGCAAGGAGGCGGAAGATGACTGACGGAGACGGAGGTGACCGACAGGAATGAGTCAATAGAGACTGCTGTGGAACGTAAAAATATCGAATCTCCTAATGAAAGTCCAGTATGATTGTACAGTGTAAGGACGTGTGTGAAACAAGGGTTTATGAAAGTTCACCTTTTTTACTCGATTTAAACAGGGTTTTATAACCTGAACTTGAATCGATTTTGAGATGTGGCAAGGTTCGCACCGCGAGTGCAAATTCTTGTATACTCACAATCACACACCAAGGTGCGAATTTGCAAGTTCGAATTTACAGAGGGGGAACCGAGCCGCAATTGGAGACTGTAGGTTACCCGGTTTCAAGCACACCACAGCGCGACACGTCACCGGAGCGCTGCTAAAAAAAGTGAGCCCTAGACCTCCAGCTCAACTTCACATCTGTGGCAGTTGTGCACGATACAAATATCGGCGAGATGAACCAATTTCCAAGTCAGCATCTCACAATGACTCTCATTCAGCTCGTGCGTTTCCTGGGGATTGTGCTTCAAGGCTACCTGCGATGCCTCGTACTTCCAATGCTCACTGCCATCGTGGCACGAATTGTGCCACGTGGTGGCCATAGCGAGTTCAGCAATGCGCTGTGTCTTGGTTGTGATCTCATTAGCGCACGAATGAGTCGCGAGGTTCGCTGAAACCTCGTACGTGCCTGACACCACACACGTTTGGATCTTTGTGTTTGTGCAAGTTCACGAATTTTTCTGTATCAAGTTCACAAAGGAGGGTTCGCACTTCCCAAATGGGGAATTTGTTTCGACTTCGGCGAGGCGATTAGCGAACATTGGCGAAAAGGGTAACCACCAAAAGTTCGACCCTGATTACGAACTCCATAAAAAATCTCACACGTCCTAAGACGTCGAGATTTAGGGTGCGTTTCTATACCGGGTCAGACATCAAGTCATGCGGCCTTAGTCTCCAATTTGTCTCTTCCGAACTTCCAATCGCCCCAAAATCGAGCCACTTCGGGTCTTCCGAACCTCCACTTCGTGTCAAACCTAAGGTATGGCACGGGATAGAAACGCACCCTCATACTTGTACTGCCAGCTTTCACATTGGTGCACGAAGCGAGTGTTTACAAAAACGAAACACCGCCCAACCACAGGTACAGACAGGACAACCAATCTCTGAGCTATACATTCCAACGAACACCCCAAGCCTGCCCTAAGGACGCGTCACCTGCCTCGATCGAACCTGCTCAGGATCGATTTTTGATTCGGTTTAAAAAGTTTTGAGAGCTACGTGCAACACACCTCAAATGTAGCCATGTCAAGCGCCTCGTTCAGATCGGAGGAACAGCTCCCAGGGTCGCACATGAGAAGGTAATGCACTTGAAGCGCCACGCGAAAGAGGCTGTGTGTAGTTTCTTAGGAGGTGATGGGCCCGCAGCACTCCACAGATCGCCAAAACGCCGCCTCGACGCCGCGCTTGCTCGGCAGACTCGGGGCATCCAACACGCGAAGCGGCGCCGGCCGCCGGCGAGGCAGCTCGGAAAAGCGGAAGGCCGGCAGAAGCGACAAGGGTAATAATGACGCAGGCGATAAGCGTGAGAGCAGCGCGACGCAGCCGGCTGGCGGAAGCAGCGCGGTGTCGAGCAGCGAAGTTTCGGGGACCGGCGGAGTAACAAATCAGAAAGCAAATGAGGGGAAGGCGGTGGCGGCGCCAGGCGGGAAATGGGGGGTTCGATCCCGGCATCGAAGCGCGAGCGCGGGGAACAGCGAAGAGCTGCGATTGGGCGGCGATGTGACTGTATCGAAGGGCTCGGATAAATCGCGGCATAGTTCCGACGCGGTGATGGTGCCGCGATCCGCGAGCTCCGAGAAACCCGCCGCCGGGAAAGGCGGCGGGAAAAGCGGCGGAGAAGGGGGAGTTCCCCGCGCGGCGTCTTACAGAGTGGAAAGCTCCGGCGCAGCAGTTGCTTCCGCCATGGCGGAGAATAGGGGGGACAGTGGCGCGGGGGGAGCTTCGGCGGGAGACGGTGTCAGCGGCGGTTCGGGCGCAGGGGAAAGACCAAGAAGTGGGGGATCGGCGGAAGGAGGGCGGAGCCCGTGGCGGAGCGTAGCTGCAGGGCCCGCAGCCGGGGGAAGGACGGGGAACGGCGCAGGGTTGGCGGAACGCCTGATCGGCGGGTTGACTTCCGCTGTAGGGGCGCAAAGGGAAGGCGACATAGGCCCGCGTCCCGATACAAGCGCACGTGATAGTGGCGGCCAAGCTTCGAATCAAGCGCAGCAGCAGCGGCAGGTGTCGCAGAAGGAGCTGCGCGCGGCGCAGAAGGAGCAGCGCATGCAGCAGCGACAGGCGCGCGCGCTGCTGCGCAAGCACGCGGGCGCACAGGCCGGCGCGCAAAAAGGCTCGCACCAGCGATCCGCCAGCGGGGGCGTGCCCAGCAGCAGAAGCGGAGGAGGCGGAGGCGGACGCGGAGCGGCAGGGGGACGCGGCGGAGGAAGCGGAGGGGCGGGGGGCAGGGGGGGGCACGTGACGGATAAGGTTCTGTGGCGGTTCGAGGTGAAGCCGGGCGGCAGCAGCAATGCCACGTCAGCCACATCCACCCCGTCCCCGTCCAAACCCCTCCAATCACACGCCGCAGGGTCGCTTCCTGCCACGCCAGGCAGAGCTTCCGGCCAATCAGGAAGCAGCAAAGGCGGCGGCGGCGGCGGAGGAGGAGGAGGAGGAGGGGCAGAAGGCGCAGGAGGAGGGAGTTCGTTGCTGGGGCAGCGGACGTTCAGCGGGGTGTCAGCCTCGTCATACGTGGGCCTTCCCCCCTCCGCCTCTCTGCCCGGCCCCTCCTTCGGCGCCCAATACAGCGGCACGCTCAGCGATCCGGGCGGGCCGGGTTACGGCGGTTACCACCACCGCGCCATGCCGTCCGACAGCAGCATCGACAGCTGGCAGGGCGGCGGAAGCGGGCTGATCCATGGCCTCGCTCCTGCTGCGGGTGGTGCTGGTGCGGCTGCTTCTCCTGGGAGTTTAGGCCCTGGTGGTGGTGCTGGTATTGGTACTGTGAGTGGTGGGGCGGGGTTCAGTGTTCCCCCGTTCTCCCCCCACGCGCTCTCAACGCTCTCAGGCAGCCGCTCAGGCAATTTCTCAGGCGCGCTCTCTGACGCCGGCGGCAGTCCCTTTGGGTCCATGCCTCGTGGGGCGTTTGCTGCTGCGCCCTCTGCATGGTCAGGCGGCGCAGCAGCACCAGGAGCAGGAGCGACAGCGGGAGGGGTGGGAGGGGGTGACAGTGGTGGGAGTCTGCTGCGGCTGGCGCCGGGTGAGCTAATGGCTGCTCTCATGCAGCAGCAACCAGGCATGATGCCGCCCAGCCCGCTACAACCCAGTCTCTTGCAGCCCAGTTTACTCCAGCCGAATCAGCTGCAGTCAAGTCTGCTACAACCGAGCCTGCTACAACCGAGCCTGCTACAACCGAGTTTGTTGCAGCCGAGTCTGCTACAGGCGTTGCAGCCTGGGCCTGGCGCCCTCCCCCTCCCTGCTTCTGTTACTGCGCCACCAGCTGCACCCAACACTGCCTTTGCCGAGCCTGCTGCATCTGGTCTGGACGCTGCCATACCTGCAGGCACGGATGCTAACACTTACACGTATTTGGGTGGGAACAGAGAGGCAGAAGATCAGGCAGGGAGAGATGCTGACGTGGACTCTGTGGATGATGACAGGGATGATGAGTCACAGGACGAAGGAGCTGAGTCAGAAATTGAGGGAGAGCGAGTGGAAGGGTTCCGAGCCACGATTAGGGCAAAAGCAGGGATAGGTTCGGCATGGGGACTGGGTTCCAAGCCTCGATCCAGCCTGCTTCTAACTCCCTCCGAACCTCCTTCAGAAACTAACTCAAGTACGGGCTCGGAAGAATTAGGGTTAGGGTATGGATACGGCCGTGCCGAGCCTCTTGCGTGTGGCACGTTGCCAGCCATGTTTCCGCCGATCCGGCCGTCCAGGCTCGGAATTTGCCCTGGGCGGGAGCTTGGGGAGATGGTTGCATTTCAGGTGGCTCAAAGGGGGGAGAGGAAGGGAGGAGGGGAGGAGGGAGGAGAGGAGGGAGGCGAGGACATTGGGTCGGATGGAGGGTGGGGAGAGGAGGAGGACGATGATGATGTGTATGCGGAGGATGAGATTGATAACGAGGCTCTGGTGGCCGCCTTAGAGGATGGACTCATGGCCTTCAGACAAGACAAGGTGACGCCCGCCCCACAGTGCAGTGCAGTGCACTCTGTAATAAGTTTGACAGAGGGTTTGTTGTGTTGCCCTTTGCCTCTTTCCGTTCCCTGTATTGCTAGCCGCCCGCGCAGCATGTGTAGGTGTGGCGCACTGTTGGGTTGCTGCTGGACGTCCGCGAGTGCTGCCTGCCGTCTCTCTCCCTTCCGCCTCCCACACCTTTTCCCGCTCCCCTTTTTCTGTCCTCTCCCTCCCTCCCTCCCTCCCTCCCCTTTTTCTGTCCTCTCCCTCCCTCCCTTTCGGCTGGGCGTGTGGCAGAGTGAGAACGCGAGTGAGAGCTGCTCTGTGCTGCTGGACGCACTGCTGGACATCTGCGAGTTCACCTTCGGCTTCATCTTTGTTTTCCCCACCCCCTCCCTCCCCCCTTGCCCGGTGGTGTGTATGGCAGAGTGAGAACGCGAGTGAGAGCTGCTCTGTGCTGCTGGACGCACTGCTGGACATCTGCGAGTTCACCTTCGGCTTCATCTTTGTTTTCCCCACCCCCTCCCTCCCCCCTTGCCCGGTGGTGTGTATGGCAGAGTGAGAACGCGAGTGAGAGCTGCTCTGTGCTGCTGGACGCGCTGCTGGACATCTGCGAGTCCACCTTCGGCTTCATTGCCTCCAACTTCCGCATGCCCCACGGCGACCCCTGCCTCAAGGTGTGCTGTGCGGTGCCACCCCTGCCTCAAGGTGTGCTGTGCTCACTGATAAGAAGGTGTGCTGTCTGGCAAGAATACGGCTTGATGCATGGCCTCGGCCATTCTTAAGAGACCCAAACCTCTCTTCCTGCTCCCCCAACTCATTCCTCCAACCCTCACCTCACCCAGGTTTCCTGGCCTGTTGGGGTATCAATCAGCTGCCTCCTGTTTCTCTTCAATCAGCTGCCTCCTGTTTCTCTTCAATCAGCTGCCTCCTGTTTCTCTTCAATCAGCTGCCTCCTGTTTCTCTTCCTGTCTGCTTCCCCGCTTACTCGCCTTTCTTCTCCCCCCTCTGTATATCATATCTCTCTCGTTCCCCGCCGTGACTTTTGAGTCGACTCAAAAGTCAACTCGCCTTTGTTCTCCACCCTCTGTATATCATATCTCTCTCGTTCCCCGCCGTGACTTTTGAGTCGACTCAAAAGTCAACTCGCCTTTGTTCTCCACCCTCTGTATATCATATCTCTCTCGTTCCCCGCCGCCCTTCTATTGCCATCGCAGACCCACGCCATAACAAACATTCTCTGGACCGACAAGCTAAGGACGTGGTTCGCCGACCACTCGGCAGCCGGTCTTGTCTTCACAGATGTGTCCGAAACGGGCCTCTTCGGCCGGGCGGCGCTGAAGGGCGAGGCGGTGTGGAGCGACGACCCGCCAGCTGGCAGCCTGCCCAAGGGCCATCCACGTGTCAACACCGCATTCGCCATGCCGCTTATCTGTGGTAAGTGCTCTGTTTGCTCTTTATTGCCCACACTTGCTCGCGCTACCTCTACTCTGTCTTCCCCACTCTCGTTCTCTCCCACTCGTGCTCGCTGCCCTCTTTCTGTTGGCTGCTTGCTTCAAAATGCGTTAAGGAGTCCCCTGCGCCAATGTGTGCTCTGTCACTGAATGTGCGATTGAACTTCACCACACCCACCACCATCCACCCTGTCTGCTGCCCCTGCTGACCCTGCTGGCCCTGCTGACCCTGCTGGCCCTGCTGACCCCACCCAGGCACGGCCGTAGTGGGCGTGGCGGTGGTGGCGAATCGCATAGGCGGGTACAGCCGCGGACTGCTGCGCGCCGTGCACCCATCCGCGCCCTTGACCGAACCCCACCCTGCACCCATCCACGCCTTTAACTGAACCATGCCCACCACCATCCACCGCCCCTACTGTCCTTGTCGTCCCTCTTGCTCCCACCCAGGCACGGCCATAGTGGGCGTGGCGGTGGTGGCGAATCGCATAGGCGGGTACAGTCACGGGCTGCTGCGCGCCGTGCAGCCGCTGCTGTCGCTCGTGGCCTCGCTGCTCTTCTGCCTGCACTGGCGCAACGACGGCGGCAGGGACCTCAGAAGACGTGTCGTCAGCCTTGCACAGGTGCATGGAGAAGGGTCTTATATGGGTAATTGGGTGGGAAGAGGAAGAGGAGCAAGTATTTTCTTCAGATTCAGCAGTGGGACTGTTATCACTCGCTCAGCATAGCATGGCTGCAAACCTTTGGGGCAATGTCTGCGCAGGCATGTGTGAGAGGCAGAGATTCCAGTAACCGTGTGTGCATGTGCATGTGTGTGCACCTGTGAGCCCACAGGACGTGTGTGCACCTGCTATCCATGCCCGTGTGTGCATGTGCATGTGTGTGCGCATGAGCATGTCTGCATGCCCACATGCCCATGTGTTCATGTGCCCATGTGTTCCTGTGTGCACCTGCGAGCCACAGGACGGGCGCATAGAGGTGGACGGCAGGGCGCATAGAGGTGGACGGCAGGGCGCATAGAGGTGGACGGCAGGGCGCATAGAGGTGGACGGCAGGGCGCATAGAGGTGGACGGCAGGGCGCATAGAGGTGGACGGCAGGGCGCATAGAGGTGGACGGCAGGGCGCATAGAGGTGGACGGCAGGGCGCATAGAGGTGGACGGCAGGGCGCATAGAGGTGGACGGCAGGGCGCATAGAGGTGGACGGCAGGGCGCATAGAGGTGGACGGCAGGGCGCATAGAGGTGGACGGCAGGGCGCATAGAGGTGGACGGCAGGGCGCATAGAGGTGGACGGCAGGGCGCATAGAGGTGGACGGCAGGGCGCACATCACATGCATGGATGCTGCCTTTTGAGTCGACTCTCAAAGTCACCGCGTGTTCATTTGCCCGTGTGTCCTTGTGTGTATGTGTCCCTGTGTGTATGTGTCCCTGTGTGCATGTCCCTGTGTGCATGTCCCTGTGTGCATGTCCCTGTGTGCATGTCCCTGTGTGCATGTGTCCCTGTGTGCATGTCCCTTTGCACCTGCGAGCCCACAGGACGGGCGCATAGAGGTGGACAGCAGGGGGTGCATCACATGCATGGATGCTGTTGCCTGTGCCATCTTTGGCGTCAACCCCCTCACTGCCGCCCTCATGGCTGCTGCACCCGCCACGTCAGCAACGGACCTTGCCAGCGAAGCAGACAGCGCAGCGGTTACTGCAGAAGGAGAGGGAGCAGCTGCGTCAGCAATGGCACCGGGGGCGGTGTGCCCGCCCCTTGGCCAGCTGTCAGTTGCTGATTTGTTTTCTCGGATTGGGGATCAGCCAGTCACAGCAGACGTTGACGTGGAAGGTAGGGCAGCCATGGGGGGTAGGGGGGGTTCGCCTCCCTTCCATTATGCCTTCTCTTTCCAGTCGAAACAAGGTCATGTCAAATTGGACCGCTTAGCTCATCATGAATGTCTGTTCTATCACAACTGCTCTCACCCCCTCCTTCCCACCCATCTCTCGCTCTCATACCCTTCCTTGATCTTCCTTAATGTGCTGCATGTGTTCATCCATTAACTACTCTCCATCGATGACTGCACTCAGCCACTTGGGTCTCTCCCATTCCTGCCTCTCCTCCCCACTGCACACCCCCTCCCCAACCCCACCACCACCAGCCATTGCACAGCAGCTGCAGACTCCTCACCCAGCAGTGGGCAAGCAGCAGGGCGGAGCTCACATTCTTTTTCAGATGAGTCTTGAGTCGACTAAAGAAAAACCTCTGCTATTCACCCTCCCTCCCCAACCCCACCACCACCAGCCATTGCACAGCAGCTGCAGACGCCCCACCCAGCAGTGGGCAAGCAGCAGGGCGGAGCGCACATTCTGCTTCAGGTTAACCTCTGCCCTCATGCTCCTGCTGCTGGTGGCAGCAGCAGCAGCAGCAGCAGTGAGAGCAGGGTGCACAGGGCAGTGGTGCGGCTGCTGGCGCGCTCCGACTGATGGAAGGACAGAGAGTATGCTCGTGCCAAGAGCATTGGACAGGCTTTGAGGCGCCTCAAAAGCAGTGAGAGCAGGGTGCGCAGGGCAGTGGTGCGGCTGCTGGCTCGCTCAGGCTGATGCCACGGCAGAGGGAGGGTACCATGCTTGTGTGAAGAGCAGCGGACGTTCTTTGTGCAACGCTGCGCCACTCAGCACTGCTACCACCAGCAGCAGGAGCATGAGGGCAGAGGTTGACCTGAAGAAGTATGTGGGCTCCACCCTGCTGCGCTGCGCAGCACTGCAACTACTGCACTCTAGACGACTTTTGAGGCCTCTCAAAAGTCTCTGTGCCACGCTGCGCTACTTAGGCAGCACTGCAACTGCTGCTCTCTAAGGCACGAGGTCCGTGGCTGTGGCTTGCCAGTATGCGGAGGACCATTGGGGGAGTGTGGTGTACAAAGGAATATGCAGTGATACTGTATTTGCAAAAAAGAGGATACTGGTTAAGGCGAGGCTGCCAAATGCTGTAGGGGCTGACAGACTTGAGGGCTGGGTAATGGGTAGGTAGGTACCGTAGGTAGGCAAGGCAGGCACCCACTGTTGAAAAAATCGGCCCAGCTTGAAAGGCCAGTACTAAGACACCTCATGCTTCAGTGCAAACTTAACAAACAAGAGATGTCCAGTGTACTAAATTTCAGTACTGAATTCAGTACACTTTCAAAAGTGTACTGAATTTCCATTACAATTTTACTGTTACCAGCACATACACCTTGCAATAGGTAAACCCCCCTCTTACATGCATCGACAGTTAGGGAGGGCGGAACACTTGACGGGCAGTAGGGGGGGGTGAGTGGGCAGCAGCAGCATGCAGGCAGTGGGGGGTGGCACCTCCAAGACGTGCCGCACCTGCTTGCCCCCCACGTGCCGCATGCCTTGAATGCTCCGACACCCCGTGCGCACCTGCTGCTGCTGCTGACTGCTGCTGCTGTTGCTGCTGCTGTGCGTGTGCTGCTGACTGCTGCTGGCGCGGTAGGTGCTGTGGGGAAGGAGGAGGGTGGAGCAGAGCCAAAACACCCTGCTCTCTCCCTTGCACCTCCACTCCCCCTTGCGCGTGCCTTCGCTCCTGCACCTGCCCTATCCGCTGCTGCTGCTGCTGCTGCTGCTGCCCTTGCCCTTGCTGTTGCTGGTTCAGCTCATCCCCATGCGGAAACAACCAGTCATTCCCACCCTCCATTACTTCATGCTGCTCCCCCCTGTGCTGCTCCCCCCTGTGCTGCTCCCCCTGCTCCCCCCTGTGCCGCCAGCCTCTATTCACCCAACCACCACCGCCACCACCATCACCAACCCCAACACCACCAGCACCACCACCGTCATCATCATCACTACCATGTAGTTCCCCTAAACCAGTAGGGTTACGAGCAGTGGTGGTGTTACAGCGCAGCAGGGCAGAGAGCGTGTCAGTGCTGCCTCGCAGTTGCTGCCAGCTGCTCTCCATCTGTTGCTGCACCGCCTGGTGCCGTGCCAGGTGCGCCCTGCGAACACCACAGAAGGCACAACACAAGAAGGAACTTTTGAGACGTCTCAAATGCTGTGCCGGGTGCGCCCTGGGAACAGCACAGAAGGCACAACACAAGAAGGAACAGCACAAGACAGGCAGAGCACAAGAGAATAGGGCGGGCTGTTTGTTTAAGCCTTTTATGCACCACAGGGGACAGTTGTTCAGGATACTCACAGTCAAACCGGCATAGCCTCTACGAGTAGGAGGTCATGAGGGAAAAGGCCTTACAGGTACAATGATAGGCGGGGCAAGTAGAGAGAAGCACACCTGAGTGTGTCGGCCTGACTCTGCAGCCGCTGCCTTTCCAGCTTCACCTGATGGAAGTACCAGCCAAGGTCGCACACGGTGGGGAGTGTGAGCACAAAGAAGGGGGGGACTCAGAGGAGCATCGGAGAGGGAAAGATGCATGGACCTGCGGGAAAGATGCATGGACCTGCGGGAAAGATGCATGGACCTGCGGGAAAGATGCATGGACCTGCGGGAAAGATGCATGGACCTGCGGGAAAGATGCATGGACCTGCGGGAAAGATGCATGGACCTGCGGGAAAGATGCATGGACCTGCGAGAAAGATGCATGGACCTGCGAGAAAGATGCATGGACCTGCGGGAGTGAGTCGATGAAGGAGATGAGTTTGACCAATAATGAAGAAGATGAAGGAGACGAGGAGTGACACACTAGAAACGAATGAAGGAGACGAGGAGTGACACACTAGAAACGAATGAAGGAGACGAGGAGTGACACACTAGAAACGAATGAAGGAGACGAGGAGTGTCACACTAGAAACGAATGAAGGAGACGAGGAGTGTCACACTAGAAACGAATGAAGGAGACGAGGAGTGACACACTAGAAACGAATGAAGGAGACGAGGAGTGACACACTAGAAACGAATGAAGGAGACGAGGAGTGACACACTAGAAACGAATGAAGGAGACGAATGACACAAGCATGCTTTGCGCTGCACCCAGAAGTTGCAGGTGCAAGTGGCGGCAGAAAGGCGATACTTTGTGGAGAGACGATTGCAGGCGAGCCTCGGTTTGCCTCCACTGCTGCGCTGCTGCCACGTGCTGCTCTGCTCGCTGCTCCACCTGCCATGCCACGTGGAATGCATGTGGCATGACATGGACAGGTCAGAGGAGGATAGGTGAACAAGGGAGCAGCGGGCGAGCAGTGGGCAGTGGGCAGCGGGCAGGGCAGTGGGCAGCGGGCAGCGGGCAGCGGGCAGCGGGCAGCGCATCAGATCCAAACTCTACCTTCCCAGAGAAAAGGCCGCTTACCGATCCAAAAGGCCCTTCCCTTCTCTTTTGGCTTACCTGCTTGACCCGCTCGCTTAGCTCATCAGCCCGCTTCCTGGAATCTTCCAGGCGTTGCTCTGCGCACTGCTTCTGACCCACAGCCTGGCAAATAGGAGATGTGCGGCATCGGGCAATGGGGGACATAGCGGCACAACAAGGGCATGGGGGCATGAGGGCATGAGGGCATGAGGGCATGAGGGCATGAGGGCATGAGGGCATGAGGGCATGAGGGCATGAGGGCATGAGGGCATGAGGGCATGAGGGCATGGGGGCATGAGGGCATGAGGGCATGAGGGCATGGGGGCATGAGGGCATGAGGGCATGAGGGCATGGGGGCATGAGGGCATGAGGGCATGAGGGCATGAGGGCATGAGGGCATGAGGGCATGAGGGCATGAGGGCATGGGGGCATGAGGGCATGAGGGCATGAGGGCATGGGGGCATGAGGGCATGAGGGCATGAGGGCATGGGGGCATGAGGGCATGAGGGCATGAGGGCATGAGGGCATGAGGGCATGAGGGCATGAGGGCATGAGGGCATGAGGGCATGAGGGCATGAGGGCATGGGGCATGAGGGCATGAGGGCATGAGGGCATGAGGGCATGAGGGCATGAGGGCATGAGGGCATGAGGGCATGAGGGCATGAGGGCATGAGGGCATGAGGGCATGAGGGCATGAGGGCATGAGGGCATGAGGGCATGAGGGCATGAGGGCATGGGGGCATGAGGGCATGAGGGCATGAGGGCATGAGGGCATGGGGCATGAGGGCATGAGGGCATGAGGGCATGAGGGCATGAGGGCATGAGGGCATGAGGGCATGAGGGCATGAGGGCATGAGGGCATGAGGGCATGAGGGCATGAGGGCATGAGGGCATGAGGGCATGAGGGCACAGGGGCAATGAAGGAATGATATGCTGGAACAGCGGGTAAGTGAGCAGGAGGGGAGGAGGAAAAGGAAGGTGGTGGACAACTGTCAGCATGACGCGATGGACCGACAAGGCAAGCACAATCAGCGACCTTGCAAGGAGTTTTTGAGAACTCTCAAAAACTCCCTGCAACGCGATGGGCCGACAAGGCAAGCACAATCAGCGACCTTCCAGGGAGTTTTTGAGAACTCTCAAAAACTCCCTGCAACGCGATGGGCCGACAAGGCAAGCACAATCAGCGACCCCGTTATTGTCGCTTTTGAAATTCCTCAAGAGTGGCAATAACGACCCTGGTGCCTTCTGGCCCTCCCCTCTCAGCCTGAAGACCCGCCTCAGCCCTCCGTCCTGTACGAGAGAGTTTCCCAGAACTCAACCTCAACTTAAATTCCCCCCAGCCCCTCCCCAGACGTTTCTCCAGACTCCACCTCTATGAGCCTTGCTTGCATCTGCTCCATTTCTCTCCTGTGTTGCTCCGCCCTTCTTTGCTGCTCCTCCTCCGCCGCCTGCTTCTGCTGCCGCCACTCCGTCTCCACCTGCCGATTGCACGTGAGGCAGAGCAGGTGTGAGGCAGAGCAGGTGTGAGGCAAAGGGGGTGTGAGGCAAAGGGGGTGTGAGGCAAAGGGGGTGTGAGGCAAAGGGGGTGTGAGGCAAAGGGGGTTTCAGACCAGGCGGGTGAAAGGACGGCAGGGAGGCAAGGAAGAGGAGTGGAAGAGAGGAATGAATGAGGCGCAGGAGAAGTGGTGAAGTGGCTGACAAAAGCACGGCGAACCACGTGCACGAAGAGAAAGAGAAAACTTAGGCACCTGGGCGCTGTGCTGCTGGGCTTCTCTCAGAGCCCGCTGCAGCTGCTGCTGCTCTTGCTGGTGGGATCAGCCAAGGGACGAGAAGGGAGGGGAGACAAAAGGGAGGCAAAGGGGAGGCGGAGGGGAGGCAAGGGGAGGCAGAGGGGAGATGAAGGGAGAGGAAGGGCCGAGCAAGGGAGGGTCGAGTTGAGATTGGAGAGCGTAGACAAAGGGGGGGAGGGATGGGCTGGAGTCGCGCACACTCCCACTGACCAGCAAGCCACATGTGCGCGCGAGAGTGCATACGCCACACGCACCCACCCCCCCACACCCAGCACACACCCACCCCCCCACACCCAGCACACACCCTGGTATGGTGCCTCGCCTGCTGCAACAATCACCGTTCCTTCCATCCCTCCCTCACCTGCACCTCCCCCAGTTGCGCCTGAACTGCGGCAAGCTGCTGCGCTGCTCGGGATTGCTCCTGGTCAGAGGGGGATAGGAGAGGTGCAAAAGCCAAGTCGGAGGAGCATGGCCCAAGCACTGTGAAGGCAGGTTGAAAACAATATGAGGGCTGTATGAAAGAAACATGGGGGCAGCATGAGAGGAATATGTATACAAGGGTGGAGAGAATGGTGCAACGAAAACAGAGGTGAACAAGAGTGAGGGGAGGGGGGACAACAAGAGGAGACGGGTGATGAACAGGGTGTGTGCTAAAGGGGCTTGAGGGTCAATGTGAGAGATGGTGTGGAGGGCAGGCAACCACGCATAAACAACATGAATGCACACATGCATGCACACAGACAGCAGCAGTAACAGCATGGCATAAAAGTGGTCAATGCCAAGAATGGGTTTTCACCTGATTCTGTGCTGTTTTCACCTGAGCATGGGCGGTTTTCAAGGAATCCATGGATTGTCGCTGCGATGCCACCTCAGCATGCAGAGATGACAGCTAGCATAAAATGATTGGAAAACAGGAGGAAGGAGATCAGAAGCAGGCAGGAGCAAGGAAAAATGAGAGCAGGCCCGCATGTGATGTGAGTAGCAGCGCCATTTGAAACGGGAGTGCTACAGGCAGTCGACGAGGCCGTCCTGCCAGTGAGGTGCGATAAGAGCATAAGCCCTGACCTTATCGCACCTCGCTGTCAGTGAGAAGCGATCATAAGCAGCAGCAGCAGCAGCAGCAGCACTGACCTCCTCATGTGCTTCCTGCAATTCTCCTCTGAGCTTCTGAGCCTCCTGCTGCTGGCTGCTCGCCCGCCTGCAAGGCAAATGGGAGCGAAGCATGTGCATGCCGCTGCTGGGAGGCACAGCACAGTGGCACGGCCACACAGTGGCACGGCCACACAGTGGCACGGCCACACAGTGGGACGGTACCAAGGTAGGAATTTACAACGCTCGGCAAGGCAAGCAGCGGGTGACACGGTTTCGCACGTCTACACCTCTAGGCAACGCGAGCCAGGCAGCGGGTCACTAGGCGCTAGCCATCCGCTGCTGACATATCAGGTTGCCAGTGCCCCTCTCTCACCCTGCCAGCAACCCCCTACCCAGCAGCACCCACCCTGCCAGCACCCCCCTACCCAGCACCCACCAAGTGACCTACTTAGTTGCTTCCTGAGCCTCCGCAGTCGCCTGAGCTAGCTGTGCCTCCAGCTGCTTCATCCTCGCCTCGCCCTCCCCCACGTGCCTCTCTAGCTCACACGCCCGCTGCTGCTGCTCCTCCGCCTTCCGCCTCTGCACCTCCCTCTGCCGCCGCTCCTCGTCACCCTGCACCCAGTGTAACGAACAATGTGTAGCAGTGGATAAAATATAGGTGAACCTAACTCCGGCCAATCAAATTTCAGAGCTTCGCACACCAAAGAACTTGAATTATCCGCCCCTCACCTGTGCCTTGGCACGAGCCAGCTCAGCTTCCAAAGAGCTCACAGCTCCACGCAGCTCCCTCTCTGCCGCTGCCCTCTGCACCGCCTCCTCCCTCGCTGCTGCCCTCGCCGCCTCCCCCTCCGCCCGTGCTGCCCTCACCTCACCCTCACATCGCTGCACTAACTTTCTCGCCACCTCCCTCTCCTCCCTCGCTGCTGACACCTCCTTCTGCATCCGTTCACGCGTTGCCCTTGTCACCATCTCTTGTGCTCTTGCTGCTGCCCCCTCTGCCTTCGCTGCTGCGAGCTCCTTTTCGGAACATTCCAGCCTCCTCCGCGCTGCCTCGCCCTTCGCCCTCGCAGCTGCCCCCTCAGCCCTGGCGGCTGCGAGCTCGTGTGAGAGCGTCCGAATCTGCTGCTCCATGGCCGCCTGGGGGTGGGGAGACACAGGACACACGAGGGCGGGGGGGCGAAGAAGAAGGGGTCACATCACGCCCAGACGACTCAGTGCTGCACTGCACGACAACAGGAGAGAGTATTTGGCTGGTTAGCCATGCCATGCGTTGCCATGCCATGCCATGCCATGCCATGCCATGCCATGCCATGCCATGCCATGCAAGCATCTTACTCGCAGAAGCGCATCTCGCTCCAGCGATGCAAGACGCTCCTCCATGCCCATAGCCATCGCATGCACGCCTTGCACCTCCTTCGCTCCATGCACGCCCTTCCCTCCTCCCACTTCTCCCACTCCATCCATCTCTATCCCTTGTGCTTCCCCCACTCGCTCCCTCACCACCTCTCTCCCCTCCTCTCCCGCCCTCCCCTTGCTTCCACCACACCTCTCCACCCCAACTGCCCCTGCCCTGCCTGTGCGCCAGTTGCCCCTCTCCTCTGCCCCCACCGCCCCACCTGCTACCCCCCTCTCTCCCGTCACCCCAACCCCTGCTCTCATCACAGCACCATCCCTACAACTCCCGCCTCTGCCTAATCTCGTCTCCCCACGCTCACCCCCCTCCTTCCCCCTTTGCTCCCCTCCCTGCTCATGACCTCCTGCCCTCTCCTCGCGCAAGTCCATGCATCCCCATTCCTCCCCTACTCCTCCTTCCCCACCTCCCCTCAACTCTGCGCCACTGTCTCCTAGCCTCTCCCCCTCACAACCCCTCACTTCTCCCCATCCCACTCTCTTCTCCCTGCCAAGCATACTCCCCACCGCTTCTCCCAGCGTTTCCCCCAACGTTCCCCCCAACGTTTCCCCCAACGTTCCCCCCAACGTTTCCCCCAACGTTCCCCCCAACGTTCCCCCCAACGTTCCCCCCAATGTTCCCCAGGTCATCCCCCCTCGTCCCACCTCCCCGCCACCTCCCTCATCTCCCCTTGCAGTCATAGCTGCCCCTCCTCCCGCCATCTCTGCGCCTCTGACCCCTTCCCCCCTTCCCCCCACTCCCCTCCTTCCTCTTGAATGCCCCTCCTCCCCATCTCTCCTCTTCCCGGCAGCAAAAGTTTGATCTTGGTCCATCCTCCTTCTCTTCGCCCCACCCTCCCTCTCATCCCCACCCACCGGACCTGTTTCCGAACCTGATGCCTCGGAATCTGAGCCTCCTTCCCTACCCACACCTAGACCCAGCCTATCTATGCCCACAGCTCCACCCCCCTTCGCCGTCCCAACCCCTGCCGCTGCTGCTCCCTCCACCCCTCCCCTCAATCCAAATCCCATTCCCCTCACATCCCCTCCCCTTCCCCCATCGCCCTCCTCTCCCTCCTCCCTTGCCCCCCTCCCTCTCACCTCTCCAGACCCCTCCTCCCCTCGCCTGCCGCCCCTCTCCCTGCCAGCGAAAGGACTCTGCCTCAATAGCTGCCGAACGTCGCCACCCACCAGGTCCAGCTGCTGCCGCTGCACTGCCTTCCACTCCCGCTGCTCCCTCTGGTGCTGCTGCTTCTGCTCCTGATGCTTCTTCTGCTGCCTCTGCCTCTGCTGCTGCTGCTGCTGCCGCTGCTGCTGAGTGGGCTGTGGCTGCTGCTTCTGCTTCTGCTTCTGCTTCTGCTGTCCCATCACTCGTGTCTCACCAGCCTCTAATCCCCTCCCTCCTGTGGCCTCCCCTGCACGGCCACGCCCACACCTCACCACACCACCATCGCCCTCTCCCTCTGCCTTGTGTCCCCCACCCACACGCCATGGCCCCAGCCCTGTGGTGGCCCTGCGAGCCGTACACTGGGCCTGCTCCCCGCCTGCTGCTGCTGATACCGCTGGTGCTGCCGCTGGTGGAGCAGCAGCTGCTGCTGCCGCTGCTTCTTCTGCCTCCTCTGCTGCTGCTGCAGGTGCAGGAGGCAATTTCGCACCTCCAGCTGCTGCAGCAGTGGAGCCAGCAGCATCAGCAGCAGCTCTACCAGCGGCAGCACCAGCGGTAGCAAAAACCACAGCCGGGCTAGCAGCAGCAGCAGCAGCATGAGGTAGAGCACAAGTGGCACGTGCAGCCTTGGCGTTGCCTCTATGCTCGTCATCTGCTCCTCTCCTCTTCACGCCCACCATTACTGGTGCACCTGCTGTTGCTGCTGCTGCTGCTCCTCCTCCTTCTCTCACAGCTGTTGCTGCTTGAGGAGATGTAACCGGTGCTGCCGCCGGTGATGCTCCTACCTTTGCCACTTTCCCTGCTTCTGCATCTCCCCCTCCTTCTCCTCCCACAGCCACGTGTCGATCACACGGGCCTACTCTTGCTGCCCCACGTGTGCCAGCAGCAACCCCTGCACTGACACGTGTCGCTCCACGATTGGCTCGCAGCAGTCTGGGGACAGCTGACTGGAGGCCTGGAATCTCGCTTCCCCCATGCTCATGCTCGCCTGCAGATGTGGCAGCAGGTGATTGGCTGGATGCTGGGAAGGCGGCAGGAAGGTTCCGGAGAGCAAAGAGGTCGGCGTATGATTGGTCTGCAGGGCAGGCACGAGTGTGGGGCAGAGAGGGGGGGGGGTGGAGGAAAGGATGAAAACTTTCTTTTTCGGTAAGATAATGAGAGTGGTTTCAAACACGTGATAATGAGAGTGGTTTCAAACACGTGATAATGAGAGTGGTTTCAAACACGTGATAATGAGAGTGGTTTCAAACACGTGATAATGAGAGTGGTTTCAAACACGTGATAATGAGAGTGGTTTCAAACACGTGATAATGAGAGTGGTTTCAAACACGTGATAATGAGAGTGGTTTCAAACACGTGATAATGAGAGTGGTTTCAAACACGTGATAATGAGAGTGGTTTCAAACACGTGATAATGAGAGTGGTTTCAAACACGTGATAATGAGAGTGGTTTCAAACACGTGATAATGAGAGTGGTTTCAAACACGTGATAATGAGAGTGGTTTCAAACACGTGATAATGAGAGTGGTTTCAAACACGTGATAATGAGAGTGGTTTCAAACACGTGATAATGAGAGTGGTTTCAAACACGTGATAATGAGAGTGGTTTCAAACACGTGATAATGAGAGTGGTTTCAAACACGTGATAATGAGAGTGGTTTCAAACACGTGATAATGAGAGTGGTTTCAAACACGTGATAATGAGAGTGGTTTCAAACACGTGATAATGAGAGTGGTTTCAAACACGTGATAATGAGAGTGGTTTCAAACACGTGATAATGAGAGTGGTTTCAAACACGTGATAATGAGAGTGGTTTCAAACACAGGTTGTACTGGTGAGTACCTGGATGGGAAACGGTCATGGCTTGGGCATGGTGAGTGTGGACGGAGTTGAGGAGACAGAGCGAAACGGAGAGGTCCAACCCAACGACTGTGCACGAGCCCTCTCCATGCGCCCACCCATCCCCTGACATCTCTCACACCCACCGTTGCCACCAAAGAGGAGCAGCGGCCCCCAGTGCACTACGGAGTGCGCTGCCTCGCTCGCTGCTTTCTTTTGAGTCGACTCAGTCAAACACACCCATCCCCCAACGTCGCTCACACCCACCGTTGCCACCATAGCCGCCAAAGAGGAAGAGCGACCGCCCCCAGTGCACCACAGAGTGCGCCGCCCTCCCTGCTGGCCCCACTGCTCCGCTCCCCCCCCACCCGCCTCTGTCATTCCCCCCCTCGCCCACACGTGCAGGCACGGCGGGCATGGGCGCGGAGGAGGGGAGAGTGGCGATGCGGTGCCAGGCGAGGGAGATGGGTGCAGAGAGATGAGCGGATGGGGGTGATGGCGGTGTGCTGTGTGGCGGGGCTTTGGCCTGGACAAGAGAAGTGGGGTAGGGAGACGAGAGGAAGAAGAGGGTGAGTGATGTGGCTGTGGGATGCTGCCTGCCTGCCTGCCTGCCAGCAAGGAGCCTTGCTGGGTTGCTTGTCAGTGCCATCGTCTCCACTCATGGCAACGTGCATGGTACGGCATGGCATGGCATGGCATGGCATGGCATGGCAGGGAAGCACGAGAGGGCGCACCTGCAGCAGCCAGAGGTCATCCAAGCGCTCCTTCTTTACGCGCCCCCCATGCACCACTGCCATCCCGCCCCCGACACCTGTCGCAGCGTGATTGGACCGCGGCTGCGCATGAGGCCCCCCTGCTGCTACTGTAGGCTGCTCCCACGCATTGGTTAGCGGGTTGTACGCCCTGGGGAAAGGGAGAGGGGGAAGAGGAGGGGAGAAGGGGGAAGTGTGAGGTTTCCCCTGGTGCCACCGTGAGGGTGGGAAAAAGGCTGCTCCCACGCGTTGGTTAGCGGGTTGTACGCCCTGGGGGTTGGCGGGGTGGGGAGGCGTAGAGAGGAGCAGGGAGGACTGGTGGGCATGGGGCATGGGGCAATGGGGGAGGATGAGGTGGAAGGGGTGCAAGAGCACCTGAAGCTCACCTGAAGAACACACAAGCAACACCTGTAATCACCTGAAGAACAACCAAGAAACGCCTGAAACTCACCTGAAGAACAGTACAGTCAAGCAACATCTGACATTTTTCTGAACAACAGCCAAGCAACACGTGAAAATCACCTAGAGTAAGCGTGCCAGGGACGTACCAGAGGCTGTGCTGCTCCTTGTCGGCCCGCTGCTTGGTCTTCCCCCCAAAGACAATGGCGCGGCCGGCAAGGTTTGTCATGGAGTGGTAGCCGCGCGCAGGGGGCGGGGAGCCTGAGGGGCTCAGGTCATGCCAGCTCAGCGAGTCTGGCGCAGGAGGGCAGCAGGGTGGTGGGGGGGGGGGGGGGGGGGGGGGGGGGGAGGCATGGGAGAGAAGGGGGATCCAGGGGGAAGGGAGTTTGAGGAGCAGGGAGAGAGGGGGGGAGAGGGGCCTGTGTTTAGGTGGTGGCTGATGAGCGAGCAAAAAAGGAGGTGGGGGGGGTGGGGAGGGGGGAAAGCAAGCAGCAGCACTGGGTGGCTTATTCATTCAAAGATGGTGGGTGTTGGAACATTGGGGGGTATTCAAAGACGCGGTGTGGTGTGTGTGTGCGACGCAAAAGGATGGGCCGGCAGGAGTAGGGGAAGGGGATGTCTTCGACTACAGAGCACAGCACAAAGCATTGTAGCGGATTCACCTGTATCGAGTACACAGAGATCATCGAGGAACTCGAGCGTGGGTCCGTTGCCACCGTATCCCCCGTGGATGAGCAGCCACGTGGCATGCTGTGGATGCACCACGGCAGCATGTGTGACACGTGGGTACTCTGCATACCTGCCACGTGTCTGCACCTGCCTCCACTGCAAACGAGCGGAGACAACATGGGGGGAAAGGCGGGAGGGGGAGTAGGAGCACAATGGACGGGGATGGGTGTGAAGTGAGGTAGGGGGGTGGCGGAAGGGGAAGTGATATGGGTGGGTGGAAAGCAAGCAGGTGTGACTGACTTTCCTCTGAAATTTTGCAAAAGCAATGAACAGATGATAAAACGGGTGAGCACTCGTCTCTTACAGCTCGCCTTCTAACCACCCGCGTGCCCACCTCCTTCCCATATGACCACCCTCCCCCGCTTCCCCCACTACGCCCCCATTCTCTTCCCCTATGCGCGCACTCTCCCCTCCTTACGCGCCTCTCTGCCCCGTGGCACCTCCCTTGTTCGCCCGTATTCCCCTCATGCGCCTACTTTCCCCCCTTCTGCGCAGCTTCCCCTCATGTGCACACCTCCCCCCCCCGCCCCCCCGCGCGCGCACCTCCCGGGTGCGCGTGTTGAAAGCGAACACGTCGTGCTTCACGGCGCGCTCGTCGCTGCCGCCCACCACCCAGATCTCACACTCCCCGACAAGTGTCGCGCTGTGATAGGCTCGCGGGGAGAATGGCGCGTGCTCGTTAATTAACTCCCATCTGACTGCTCCTCCTCCCTCCGCTCCTCCTACCCCACCTCGTCGCTCTCCCGGTTTGCAACCCGTCTCGCTCCCGTCGCAAGTAGGTCCTGCGACGTCTTTGCAGGCAGAAAGGTCGCACAGCCAAACGTCGTTGGCGTGCGTGCGATTGGCCAATCGCCCGCCCATGACGTACATACAGCTGCCGACGGGCGTGGCGCTGTGGCCGACACGTGGCACGAGGCCATTTGGTACTGCGCGAGACAGCAACGACAGACATCGTAATCAGGACAGGTTCCCTCGGGCTGCTGACAGAAACACTAATTGATGGGCCCACGTGGTATTTGGACGTGCTATGGGATGCGACAATCAGACAAACGCTCGGGACTGCCTACTAGTCGTTCATGTTTTCATGCGCATCGTCGTCTGGTTTCACCCACCTTGTAGCTGCTGCCAGAACGGCACGGTGCTGCTACCGCGAGCCATGCATGCTGTGGGGTGGGTTGTCGATTAGAGTTTTACTTTGAGCGCATGTCTCATCGATGCGCATTACCACTTAACTTTCTTGTCCCCACACATTACTATCAACATTCATTTGTTGAAATAACACATCACTAACCCGTTTGAACAAAAAAACATGGCTACTAAACCCGTATGATTGAAGTCTTGACAATTAGGTAGGTTTTCCCGTTGTTTCATATAACTCAGTTGCATTTGTGATGCCCTGATCAGAAAGCTCTGGTTGAATGCTCACTACGACATTCGGCAAGGTACGCTTGCAAAATATAAATGGGGGAAACTAAGTTAATATTGAGATACTGCAAGGAACAAAACTGTGTATCATCGACTGATTGGAAGGCTATTTACAATGTAGAGCATCTACAAGTCGATAGCCCTCTTCGAGGTGAACTTGACAACAGCGGGATCAACGTTCTTGCCGATGGAGCGCAGGTTCACGTTGGCGTTGGCACGGCCAGCATTCACCTTCTCGGGGTACACGCCGTCCTTGGGGTGCAGGTACTGCACCTCGCCGCTGGGGAACACGCGGTAGAACTGGTAGTTGATCTTGAACTTTGTCCGGAGCTGGGTGCCGAGCGCGAGGCACTGCTCCTTCCTGGCGAGCTTCAGAAGGTTGGGGCCCGCGCGCATGATGGCGGCACCACCGGTGGGCATCTCGAAGATCTGCTCCTTCTTGGCCTCCCACGTGATCACGTAGAACTCCTCGACCTGGGCCTTGCGGAGAAGGCCGCCGGTGCTGCCGCCGAAGATGGGCGACGGCGTGTCGGACTTCAGCTCGGGAGGGGAGAAGCCGGCGGGAGCCTCCGCAGCCATGGTCAGGCGCGCGGGAGCGGCCTTCACGGCGAGGGAAGCGCCGGCGAAGCTCTTGGCGTTGAGCTTCTGGTTCTTGGCGCCGAACACGGCAGCCACGCGGACAGCAGAGGAAGAGGCGACGGCGGCCATTGTGTGATTTTTGCTGGTCAGGCGTGGCTGGGATGAGTTCGGCGGAGAGTGGAGGTCAAGTGCTGCCTGTACAACAAGGGTTTGCAGATGACAGGTGGGAAATGAGAAGCTCCTGATAACAAATGCGTAGGCTCAGCGGCTGTGGACACCCCCTCAATCTCCGCGCTGCTGATCCCGTTTGCCTGGGAGCCGTTGTGGATGACGCTTGGAAAGCAACATTCCAGGCCTATCTTGGCTGGCCAATCAGAGATGGACCTGACCTCGCAGAACCCATGCCGCCAATTCCTGTGAGCCAATCGAACGGAACCAAAAGGTCTAAGGATAGCCGTAGACCAATGAAGGGTCATCCTAGCTGTGCGAGATGCACCTGGTATCGCGGGGTTGTTTTGTCGCTCAAACGATATTTTTCCAAAATTGCTATAGGTAACTACGTTTATACAATATACTTTCAACCATATTTCTAGATGAAGGGAAACAAAATGTTTCAGAAGCAAATACCACAACCCTTCCATTTTTCAACACATCCTAAAAAGGAGGCTACAAAAATGTATTTAGGAACATGATTTCTCTACATCAAATATAAAACATTACTGCAATCGCATTATCTCATTGCCACCTAACTCTTCCTTCAAGCAGTTGAATGCACAGCTGCAGCTGCCTCTACACCTTGAGCTGACCGTCCACTCTCCTGGGCAAGCTTGCAAAACAGTGCCACAGATTCTTCAGGAGTCCCCTGCACCACTCCATGCCCCACATTGAGAATGTGCTTCCTGCCTCCTGCCTTGCTCAAGCAATCAGCCACAGCTGCTCTGATGGACGCCTCTGGACCAAACAGAACCATCGGGTCCACATTCCCCTGAAGAACAACATGAATGAAAGGGGGGAGGGGGGAAGGGTTGGGGAGGGGTTAAGAGGTGGAGGAATGTGGTGAGGGGGGTGGAGAGGTTGGGCACATGGGAAGCATTGTGGGCAAGATACATTCTGACTGACAGCAATGTAATAATAAAACAAACATGGAGAAAAAGGTCAAAGGCACACTGGGAACACCCAAGCCCATGCGAGGCACAGTCCGCCTCACCTGCAGCACGGTATCACTGCCAAACACACGCCTAGCCTCAGCCATATCAGTGCCCCAGTCGAGCCCCACCACGTCAGCACTGCACCCCTGCTGCACCAGGTGCAGCTTGCCGGTGCCGCCATTCCCATGGAAGATGAGCGGCGTGTGCGGGTGCAGCTGCTTCACGCGCTGCACGATGCGCTCGGCGTACGGCAGGCTGAACTCGGCGAACTGGGCGGGCGTGAGGTGGTGTGCCCACGAGTCAAAGAGCTGCACGATGTGCGCCCCACAGCTGATCTGGTGGCTCACATAGACGACTAGAGCGTCCTCCAAGGCCGCCAGGATGCCATGCAGCAGCTCCGGCTCTGAAAGAGGGGTGGGGTGAGGGGGAAGCATGGGGACATGGAGAGGCGAGTGGAAGATGAGTGGTGTTTGCAGGTGCCTCACGTACACCACCAGCGCGTCCTCCAAGGCTGCCAGGATGCCATGCAGCAACTCCGGCTCTGACAGTGGTGGGAAAGGGGTGAGGTGAGGGTTGAGATGAGGGGTAAAAAGAGGGGAGAGTCGAGGGAGGCATGGAAGCATGGAGGTATGGAGGAGGAAGGTTGCCGTGCAACGCTGGCTGCTAATTCCCTCCTTGGTTCATGCAAGCATGGCACACTGAAAACCACTCGTTTAGCTCACAGGTAGCCCACCACGCTGCACCCATCCACCTTGAGCATGCGACCACAAGCCTACCCAGCCAGCCACTGACCATGCAGCATCATGCGTTTGGTGGCGAGCAGGTTCTTGCTGCCCTGCCCCTCGATGGCGTATGCTGCCAGCGTCCACGGCGTGCCCACAAACCCCAGCAACGTCGCCTCGCTGCCCGCCAGCTCGCGCCGCAGCGAAGTGAGGATCTCGCGGATGAACGGCAGCTTGGCATCCGGGTCCTCCAGGGGCCTGCGTGTTGGCCGATGGGGGGCGATGGGGGCGAGGCGAGGAAGAAGGGGGGGTCCGGGGGTTGCTGAGGCGAGGTGCCTCAACGAGCACAATTGCTTGAGTGAGCTTGCAATTCAGCCTCCAACGAGGCAATTCTGGTTGGATTCAGCATGTGTCAGCTTGCAAGCTTGAAGGCTTGAGCATGATGACGTGGTCTCGGCACATGTCAGGTCAGCGAGGCATTGTCCTCTGGACTTCTTTAGATCCCAGGCCCACTGTTCCATTTCCCGTTTGTTTGTCCCTTAATGGCCCTGTCTTATAAGGCTATTGACCTGGGTTGTCCACACTCATTTACCCCCCCCCCCCCTTCCCGCCCGCTTCTCCATTTCCCCTCCATGCCCCCCACATTCTCCGCTTTTTCCCAATCAGCACCCTCACGTGGGTCCACTAGGTCGGCCGTGCTGCCAAGGGAATCAGCATCAGCAAGTCCACCGCTCTTTACCCATTCAATTTCCGTACATCTTCACGAGGAAGGCTCCTCGCCGCCCGCCTCCCTTCCTTCCTCCCCCATTCATCATCTAGCACCCTCCTCGCACCCTCCTCGCACCCTCCTTTCGCCCTCCTCACACCCTCCTTTCGCCCTCCTCTCACCCTCCTTTCGCCCTCCTCTCACCCTCCTTTCGCCCTCCTCTCACCCTCTTTTCGCCCTCCTCTCGCCCTCCTTTCGCCCTCCTTTCGCCCTCCTCTCACCCTCCTCTCGCCCTCCTCTCGCTCTCCTCTCACCCTCCCTCACCCTGCCCTCGTCTCGCCCCCTCCCTCCCCCTTCTCCCCTTCTCCCCGCCCGCCTCCCTACCTTCCTCTTCCACCACTCACTTGAGGTCGCGCAGGTCCGCCGCGGTGCGCAGCGGGTCCGCAATGACAGGCCCCTTGCCCTTGACCATGTCGAATTCCACCCCGAGCGCGGGCAGGATGGTGAGGATATCAGAGAACATGATCACGCCGTCCGTGCCGAACGCCTTCCACGGCTGCAGCGTCAGCTCGATCGCAATCTCCGCCGTCTCCGACCGCATGCGGAACGGATACTTGTCCGAGAACCTGCGCGCAAGGGGGGAGGGGGGAGAACGGGGAAAGGAATGGGGAGGACGAAGGGTGTTCGTTGCCTTCAAATGAATGCAGAACGGGTACTTTATTGAAGAATTTGCGGGGATGCGGCACCCAAACAGTTCGACTGACAACGATACCTCAGGCGTGGGACACGGGGGAAACGACACAGAGATGGGGGAAGAGGAGGCGGGGAGGGGGGAGGAAGGTTTGAATTGTTGAGGGAGGATAGTTCTTTCGTTGTGACAGCGCTACAGGGTTCGGAAAGGAAGCGTGCGGAGAGGGGGGCGGGGGGCGGAAGCACGTACTTGCGGAAGTCTTTCATGTAGCGCCCCGCCTGGCGCATGAGCCACACGGGCGTCCTCTCCGCGTCTGCCACGCACCACGGGACCGCGCGCACACTTGTCACGTGCACCGACATGCACACACATGTAGTCGTATGCACATGTATGAACCCACGCTTACTCACACGCGCTCACATGCACTCACACGCGCCGACACCCATCCATACCCTTCCCCACACCTCCACACCGCACAGCACCGCGCACAGCACCGCGCATCACCACACACCACCACGACGAGCTGATTGACAGCAGATTCGTCCTACCACTGATGGAATGCGAAATTATGCGACAACGACGAGCTGATTGGCTACCTAGCTGACACGCGGGAATTCCGTCGCGAAGAGCATGAGCTTGCCGGATGTTACCAGGCTCAGACACGCAGCCTTGCTTGTAATCCACCACGCTTACACCACGCTCACACCACACTCACACACGAGCTGAGTGACTGCATATAATCGTACGAACATTCACGTTCACATGCTTCGCGCGGGGGACTGACCTTCTCCGCGCGCCACGCGCAGCAGCAGCGGATCCCGCGCGCCGTCGTGGAGAATCTCCGCCGTCGAGCATCGGCACTTCCCGCGCCCCTCCGCCACGCTCGATCCCGCACGCACCGCTCGCTTCGCGGAGGGGAAAGCGACGGAGGTCGCGGCACCGGAGATGCCGTTGCTGGAGGATGCCACGTGGCTGAGCTTGGCGGGAACGGAAACTGCGGTCGACAATCCCGAGGTGGCAGCCATTGTTCCGGAATTACTACTGAAAGGCTTTATTCTGGGAAGTCAGGCCGCAGCGACAAGAAAGTGAAGGGTTAGGCCGCCTGGCGCCGGACAGAGTGAGCTGAATGGCTGTCACAACGTAATGCCCACCCTGTTTCGACTGACGAAATCTGTCTGAAACTGACGACCAGTCGCCAGTGCCTAAAGCAATGCTCGGAAAAGGAAGGAGGTGAATGATGCAGGGAATTGGAGAATGGGAGGATGGGCTGACAGAGCATATGGAAAGCCGAAGCGCAAGCCCAGGGATGTCTGGGTGAGGTGACGTGTCCCTCGACGGATTTCGTTGTCCACGTGTTAGGTTTGGGATTGCCGAGTTCGGAACAGGCAGGTCGAGTTTGGGATGATTGTTTTATATTTACAATGGCACACCATAAGTGCAGTACCTATATGTGCTTGAAAAGGGTCTAACAAGAGCGAGGTTTTGCAGGAAGAGAGCCCTTGAACCTGGATCTGTAGCGTGGAATCATCTTCTGCCACCGTGTCTAGAGCATCACCGATTGGCTGAAGTCTACAATCCAGCTCACCGCGTCATCTTTTCCCTCCATTCAGCGCACGAGGTGTACGCTCTCCCCCAATGCCTTCTCAACGCGCGCAGCACTCGCGCGACATGGAAATTCTGATTCAGGGCATCCACACCCTCTTCCCCAGTTTTTGTGCTGCATTCTCAATTCACTTCCTTTTAGCACGGCCAAAATCGGTTTCCTATGACATATGTACGGTACAGTGCGTTTCGCATCAATTCCTTTAGGAATTGAGCACGTTTTGTGCGCCCAGCCCATCAACAAACAAGCCCAGCCCAACACAGTTGCTCACTTTTCCACACCATTCCGCAACCTTCCCGTTCTCGAATCTGGTCTCAAATTCCCCCTCCTCCTGATTACTTCTTTATTTTCAGACCCTTCATCCACAGCTGCATCACTTTCAAAGCGTTTGTATTCCCAATTGACGATTGCTCCCGACAGCTGACGCCCTCCAGACACAAGTCCTGTAAACCGCCATCTCATAATTTATCATGGCGCCTCTGGGTGCTCTTGCCGTCAGCCTTGTCTCCCCAATTGGGTGTCCGCCCAAGTGCGTCGGTGACTCCGTTTCGGGGGCCAGGACTCCGTCGGCTCCGTTCAGGGTGACAAGGTACCACGTTATTCCCGCAATTACACCGTCGCGAATATCCCTTTTCCTCTAACAACCTCCAACCTCTTGCAGCAAGAGTTATCTATCCGGTAGAGTCACGCCACCTTGTCCCGTAGTGCCAATCGTTGCTGTCAATTCGCATGTGAATTACATCCTTCGTTGTCTTTTGTCCCGTTTCCCCTTCAGCCCCGCTCCCGTCGCACTTCGCCCTCCGGCGCGTCTTCCCCTGAAGCGCCATTCGCGGCTCCCCGCCACATCATGTTCCGCCGGAGGATCGCCGCGAGGTGCCGCGGCGGAGGCGAGCCGGAGCGCCGGTTCCGCCGGGAGCACCGCTAGCAGCGCGGGTGACACGCACCGCAGCCGCAGCGACAGGAGCGGCAGTGGCGGCAGCAGCAATGGCGGCGGCAGCGGCTCGTCGTCGTCGTCGTCGTCGGTGCCGTCGCCCTTCGCATTCGTGGGCCTGGACTACTACCAAATCCTCGGCGTGCCCGTCGGCGCGCCTCCCGCCGACATCCGGCGCGCGTACCGCGCGCTGCAGAAGAAGTACCACCCCGACATCGCGGGCGCTCAGGTGCGCTCTCAACAGTTGTGCGCGGTTGTGCGCGCGTGGAATTGACGCGCATGTCGCACATCCCCACGCGCATGTCGCACATCCCCACGCGCATGTGAAGGCTCGTCATGGGATTGGCTGACTGCCCAGCTTCGAATTCCTCACACGGTGGAGTTTGTTTCTCTCAACACTTGAGAGAAATCTCCGCTCCTCGCGTTCCGCCCTTCATGTGCATTCGCCCAACCCTCCACTTACTGTTCTCTGCCGCCCACCCCTCTCCTGCCCACCTCTATACCCCTCTCCTGCCCACCTTCTAACACCTCTATAGACGCACGAGATGGCGCTGAAGCTCAACGAGGCGTACGACACGCTCATGGACGACACGCGCCGCGCGTCGTACGAGAAGGAGTGGCGCGATGCGGCCGTGGCGGGGTACGTGGGGTTCACGGGGCAGCCGCGCAGCGCGTGGGCGGCGCCGGAGGGGCAGCAGCAGGCGATCTTCGTCGACGAGGCGGCTTGCATCGGTGGGTGGGTGTGACTGTGAGTGTGACTGTTAATGTGACTGTGAGTGATGTTCGGGTGCAATGGTAGTGCGCTGATTTGCTTCCTCATCACCGCTCTTCCCACTCCCACCCCCGCGCCCTCCCATCCCCTACTCTCGCTAGGCTGCCGCGAGTGCGTGTTCGCCGCCAGTCGCACGTTCCACTTCGACGCCGAGGCGGCCGTGGCGCGCGTGCACACGCAGTGGGGCGACGCGCTGCCCGCCGTCCAATCAGCCATCGACAGCTGCCCCGTCAGCTGCATCCACACGGTGACACGTGGCGACCTGCCCATCCTCGAGTTCCTTGTGCAGGTCTCATCTGAACCCACCCAACCCAAGTCCTCCCCTCCTCTACTCCCTTTTCACTCCCTTTCGTACACATTTGACTCGTGCAGGTCTCATCTGAACCCACTCAACCCAAGTTCTCCTCTACTCCCTTTTCACTCCCGTTTCACTCCCTTTCGTACACATTTGACATCTGTTTGATCCCGCTTATCCTGTCTCACACCGTATGCCCCTCATCCCACTCGCCCGCGCGTCTCGCGTTCCCTGGCAGCCGCGGGAGAGGGAGAGCAAGGGCATCTTTGGGGGCGGCTGGGAGCCCGGGCACCCCATCAATATTTTCACTGCTGCCCGCGAGTTCAAGCGCAAGCTAGAGAGCCAGCGGGAGGGGGCGGAACGCAGGCGGGCAGGTTAGTTTTGGCAGTGGAAGAAGAGGGTTGAATGGGTGTGAATGGGTGCTGAGTACTGTGCAATGCGTGAGTGATATAGCTTGCAGATTATGATAGAGCCATATGGCATATGCTAGAAATTGTTGCTATGTTGCTTTTCTTACATGCTCCCCTCCTATCTAGTTCTTCTCCCTAAATGATGCTCCCTTCCAACTTCCACCTGTCTATCTTTCTCCTCGCCGCCCTCCTGCAGCCACGTCGGCAGCAGAGCAGGAGACGCCAGCTCAGCGTGCCGCCCGTCAGGAGGCGGACGCGAGGATGAACGGGTTGAGCGGCGGGTTTTGGCAGAAGTGGGCGCAGGCATGGGGGGCGTGGGGGGAACCAGGTGGGGAGGCAGGCGCGGATGGGGGGGAGGGGAGTTCTCAGTGGGCCAGGGCGAATACAGCTAGCAGCACGGCTGGCAGCAGTGAGGGTAGCCGTGAAGGTGGGAGGCAGGCAGGTGGGGGGAGGGGGGAGGAAGGAGGAAAGGGAGGAGGTGGTGGAGGGGGGAAGGGAGGAGGAAAGGAAGGGAAGAAGGGGGGGTGGTTCCCGTGGCATGCAATGCTGGGCACGGCGGCATCGTCGGAGATTCTCAGACAGCCGGCCGGGGAGGGCGTCAAGGAGGAGGTGAGAGTTTTGAGGCGCCTCAAAAGGGCGTCTCTCTACCCGCAATTTTTTTGGTGCCTCAAAATCACGGCAGCTTCAGAGATTCTCAGGCAGCCGGCCGAGTCAAGGAGGAAGTGAGAGGGGTACGGGTGTGGTTGTGAGTGGGGAAGGAGGGAACGAGGGGATCGGGGTACAGCTGTGTTTCCTGACGTCTTTTCCCAGGTCTTGAAGTCTGTGCTTCAGTAGTAACTTGATTTCACCCTCCCGTCTCCCCCCTTGTTGGCAGCACGCAGAATTCATTATTGTCAATCTAACCTTCCCACCTCCCCCTTCTATCCATCCTCCCCTTCCTCCCCATTCTCCCCGTCATCCCCATCGTCCCCATCCTCCCCATCGTCCCCATTCCGCCCTACTGCCCCCATCATGCAGCTCATAGCATTCATCCAGCAGTGGGCCACGCTCTGGTCTTTTTCCTCCGAGCTGCCCCTTCCTCTGCCCGTCCGTGTGGACAACCAATCGGACGGCACCGAGCTGACGCTTATCACCATGCGCGGCGATCTCCTCACGTCCGTCGGATCGTTTGTCATCACTGTGGAGCCGTTGGATGCTGATGCTCGTGGTGAAACTACTAGTGATGGTGGTGATAGTGGTGATGGTGGGGAGAATGGGGAGTGGGTGGTGGTGGTGAGGAGAAAGGGGGCCATAGACAACAAAGCTTTGCCAGGAGAGGGGACTATAGTGAAGGCACTGAGAGGAGCATTGGCAAGGCATGATAGCATGAAGGGATACGAGGCGTATCATCTCCCTAGGAGCAGCAAGCCCATGAAGTAGGTTGTTGGTGTACATAATTATTCAGTTGGGGATGCTGCTGTAGCATATGATGGAGGGAAAACGTTTTCTTACAGTTGCTTCTGATTATTGCATGTAGAACGTAACCTTTTGGTAAAATGCTAAATGCTAAATGCCATAAAATTAAATGTATATGCAGAGTTTTGTATTCCAATGGGTCTCCTGCGCAAATAACCGAGAGATGTGGCGCCCAGCGGGACACACCCGGCTTACAGGGTGACGTGGCGACCCCTCCTCAGTTCTTGGTCCACATCGTCGCTCCCTGCTCTTTTCCCCCACACCGCACATTCGCATCCCCGTTGTAATGCAGTTCACTGCAGAGGTGCTCAACATTCATTCACTCTCTATTTTCGTCGGGAAAGTTCAGGTCAGCAAGGGGAGCAGAGAGGACGAGAGGAGCATCGGATTCAGCATCATCATTCCACCCATTGGTCGTAGTCATCGGCACTCCCTCAGCAGCCCAATAGCACATCAGCAGCGGCGTTCCTTACATAGCGCGCTAGCTTCACCGATCCTGTCCGTCCTCTTCTCTCGCGTCCTTCGCCCCTCTCACGACCTCCGCGCCTCGTCGCGACTGGCATGCTCGAGCGTCTCCGCGCGCTCCTCTCGTTCCTCTTCCACTGCGCGCGCGCCGTCTTCCTCTTCCTCGTGCTTCTCTCCGACGCGCTCGGCTTTCCGCCCGCCGCGCGCGCCGTGCGGCAGTGGGAGGAGTGGCTTTGCCGCCTCGAGCATCGCGAGACCGAGTCGAATTGCTCGCAGTCTGATTTTTCACAGCGCGCGCAGACCTCGGCCCTCCACGCAGGGGTTACAGGAGAGACAGGAGAGTCAGGTTACTCACGAGACACAGTAGTTACTGATTTCAGCTCATTACAGGCGCTCATCTCTCTGACAGCCATGGCGCATCGCCTCTGCGGCCGATGCGTCTCTTCCACCGCCTCCGCCTTTCCCGCCGCCAAATCCGCCGCAACTCACGCTCTCCAATCGCACCTCTCCACCGCAACCAGCGCGACCAGCCCATCCGCGTATAATCGCTCATCTCCCGCCGCCGCGGCGCTCCGTAGCTGTCGCCCGACGGCCAATTACCCGCCGCCACGTGGTGCCAAGGCGTGGTGGTATCAGCCGTGGCTGGCGCATTCCGCCGTCACCGGCGCACGCAGGCTGTTCCCCGCAGCGGGGGGAGGGGGAGGGCCGGGAGGAGCAGGCGCGGGGGGGAAACGCTACGTGGGGACAGTTCCGCCCGCAACTGGCGGGAGGGGAGTGGGCGTGACGAGATGCGAGGGAGGGGGCGCCATGTACACGTGGCCTGATCCGACGGTCAGTAGGAAGCGACGGGGAGGGGGGGCAGGAGTATCTGACGGGTGCATGTGAAGGGGATGCTGTCACTCGCGCGGCCACCATTCGGCCGCTCTCGCCGCTTCCCCCTCGTCCCATTTCTCCGTTGAGGTGGATTCTCTCCCCACTTTCTCTCACCGGCCCTACATGGCTCCCGCATCTCACCCCTCCTTCACCCCCCTTTCCCCGCCCCCTCTCCTCCTTGTTCCCCCTCCTCCAGCGGCCGCGTGTGTGCGTGCTAGGGGGTGGATTCGGCGGGCTGTACGCGGCGTTGCGGCTGGACTCGCTGCTGTGGAGTGACGAGCGCCGCCCGCAGGTGCTGCTGGTGGACCAATCAGAGCGCTTCGTCTTAAAACCGCTGCTCTACGAGCTGCTCTCGCAAGGTGGGCACTTCCCCCATGACCTGCTGATGCTCATTATGCTCCTACTCCTTCTCCTACACCTTCTCATTCTCCTTCTCGTGCTCCTTCTCATGCTCATGCTCGTGGTCGGCTTGGCCCCGTCTGCTCCCAACCAATCCGGCCTTCATGCCTCGCATTATGCCACATCCAAAAGGTGAACTCACTCTCTCCCTCTCTCTCCCTTTCTTGCCTCCCCCCATCAGACGTGACGGTGTGGGAGACAGCATCCAAGTTCACGGACCAGCTCAGAAGCAGCTCTTCAGCACTCAGAAGCAGCTCAGAAACACCTGAAGGAGCAGGACCTGGCGCGGGGAAGGGGTCTACCTGGGAAGGACCTGGAGCGAGAAAGAGTGGCGGGGAGGGGGGGCGAGGGGCAGTGCGGTAGGGAAAGAGACGGTAAAAGCGGACGGACTCATCAAAAGTGATGTCCTGAGACGCAAAGACACGGCGCGAGGTGGGGTCTTAAAACTGCCAGTCAGGCGCGTCAAGGGGAAAACCAAGGAAGACGCAGGGAATGGCGCGGGCAGAGAGCTTGTCCGCGGTGAGAACGCGGACAAAGGCACAAAGGCACGAGCACCCCAGACCCGGAAATGCGACGCATCGCCAACCTCCCCCGTCCACAACAGTGTGGGCGAGGTCTCCGGCAAGGAGACACGGGGCCAGAGGTTGAGCTGATGCGCAGCGTACCGGACCGCAAACGGCCACAGAAAATGGGGAGCCGCCGCATGGATCATGGAGGTACGAGCGACCTCCATGACTAGCCAATTCGGCGCTCAGCAACCCCATTATGCTGCGGAGAGGCCGGAAGCATGAACGACTGGCGGATGCCGTGCTCCGCACAGAAGGCTGCCAAGAGGTCGGAGGTGAACTCACCACCTATGTCAGAGTATAGACGCAAGACTGGAAAGTCCCGCTCCAACCGCTCGCGGAGCTGGAGACGAACAGCGCGGATCCAAGAGATCAGAACAGCACGGACATCTGCCTTGCGCTGCAAGGGGAAGACCGTGGTGTAACGCATGTAGTCGTCGACGACCAGCAGGAAGTACCGCTCGCGGTCCTATCCCTGGACGCGTGCTGGGCCCCACATGTCCAAGTGGAGGGTCTGCAGTGGAGCCTCTGTGGGAGGGAACGAGGAGGAGTGAGGAGCGGTGCGCTGCCGCCCCTCGACGCAAGGAATGCAGGGCGACACAGGCAAGGGAGGGAGGGCAGGCAGAGACCTGGGAAGACCAGAGACCAAGGAGCGAGAGTGCATGCTACGAAGGCGAGACAGGGAGGGGTGACTAAGGCGGTGGTGCCACAAGAGAGTGTCGTGCGAAAGGCGGCGACACTCACACTGGGTAGCTACCTGAGCAGACGCGTATAGCTGTGGAGACAAGGGGTGTAGTGTGAAACAGTGGTGAGGGTGTACAGACTGGACCCCGGCTCACGAGTGAGCGTGGCCAGGTGGCGGCCAGTCCGAGAGCAAGTGCAGATCGCCACACGCTGCCCTCCAGGAGTCCAGGTGTCAACCCAGTGATCCTGAAGGACGGCGTTGCTCACCAGGTTCGTAGAGAACAAGGGAACGTGGAGACCTGACAGCTCACCAGACGGGACCGCCGGGCACGGAAGCACAGTCGTGGCTCGTGCAAGCACTGGGCCCCTAGAGGGGTCAGCCAATGAGACAGGGACAGGTGCAGGGAGGGATGTGACTGTGGTACTGTCACGAAAGAAACACAGCTGTGCAAATATTGATGGGGTGCCCGGGCTCCCAGCCGCCCCCAAAGATGCCCTTGCTCTCCCTCTTCCGCGGCTGCCAGGGAACGCGAGACGCGCGGACGAGTGGGATGAGGGGCATACGGTGTGAGACAGGATAAGCGGGATCAAATAGATGTCAAATGTGTACGAAAAGGAGTGAAACGGGAGTGAAAAGGGAGTAGAGGAGAACTTGGGTTGAGTGGGTTCAGATGAGACCTGCACGAGTCAAATGTGTACGAAAGGGAGTGAAAAGGGAGTAGAGGAGGGGAGGATTTGGGTTGGGTGGGTTCAGATGAGACCTGCACGAGGAACTCGAGGATGGGCAGGTCGCCACGTGTCACCGTGTGGATGCAGCTGACGGGGCAGCTGTCGATGGCTGATTGGACGGCGGGCAGCGTGTCGCCCCACTGTGTGTGCACGCGCGCCACAGCCGCCTCGGCGTCGAAGTGGAACGTGCGACTGGCGGCGAACACGCACTCGCGGCAGCCTAGCGAGAGTAGGGGATGGGAGGGCGCGGGGGTGGGAGTGGGAAGAGCGGTGATGAGGAAGCAAATCAACGCACTACCATTGCACCCGAACATCACTCACAGTCACATTCACAGTCACACTCACAGTCACACCCACCCACCGATGCAAGCCGCCTCGTCGACGAAGATCGCCTGCTGCTGCCCCTCCGGCGCCGCCCACGCGCTGCGCGGCTGCCCCGTGAACCCCACGTACTCCGCCACGGCCGCGTCGCGCCACTCCTTTTTGTACGACGCGCGGCGCATGTTGTCCATGAGCGTGTCGTACGCCTCGTTGAGCTTCAGCGCCATCTCGTGCGCCTGGCGCAGAAAGGTAGTTAGAAAGGGTGGGTGGCTAGGTAGGAAAGAGCAGCAGGGAGCGTGCCTTGACGGCGGGTAAGCACGCCTTGACTAGCGTGTCGTCCATGAGCGTGTCGTCCGCCTCGTTCAGCTTCAGCGTCATCTCGTGCGTCTATTGAGGTGTTAGAAGGTGGGCAGGAGAGGGGTATAGAGGTGGGCAGGAGAGGGGTGGGCGGCAGAGAACAGTGAGCGGAGGGTTGGGCGAATGCACATGTAGGGCGGAACGCGAGGAGCGGAGATTTCTCTCAAGTGTTGTGATAAACAAACTCCACTGTGTGAGGACTTCGAAGCTGGGAAGTCAACCAATCCCATGACGAGCCTTCACTTGGGCGTGGGATGTGCGACATGCGCATCAATTCCACGTGCGCAGAACTGTTGAGCGCGCACCTGAGCGCCCGCGATGTCGGAGTGGTACTTCTTCTGCAGCGCGCGGTAGGCGCAGCGGATGTCGGCGAGAGGCGCGCCGACGGGCACGCCGAGGATTTGGTAATAGTCCAGGCCCACGAATGCGAAGGGTGACGGCACCGACGACGACGACGACGACGAGCCGCTGCCGCCGCCATTGCTGCTGCCGCCATTGCTACTGCCGCCACTGCCGCTCTTGTCGCTGCGGCTGCGGTGCGTGTCACCCGCGCTGCTAGCGGTGCTCTCGGCGGAACCGGCGCTCCGGCTCGCCTCCGCCGCGGCACCTCGCGGCGATCCTCCGGCGGAACATGATGTGGCGGGGAGCCGCGAATGGCACTTCAGGGGAAGACGCGCCGGAGGGCGAAGTGCGACGGGAGCGGGGCTGAAGGGGAAACGGGACAAAAGACAATGAAGGATGTAATTCACATGCCAATTGACAGCAACGATTGGCACTACGGGACAAGGTGGCGTGACTCTACCGGATAGATAACTCTTGCCGCAAGAGGTTGGAGGTTGTAGAGAGAAAAAGGTATTTTTTCGCGACGGTGTATTTGCGGGAATATCATGGTACCTTGTCACCCTGAACGGAGCCGACGGAGTCCTGGCCCCCAAAACGAAGTCATCGACGCATTTGGGCGGACACCCAATTGGGGAGACAAGGCTGACGGCAAGAGCACCCAGAGGCGCCATGATAAATTATGAGATGGCGGTTTACAAGACTTGTGTCTGGAGGGCGTCACAAGGGAGGAGCTGTCGGGAACAATCGTCAATTGGGAATACAACCGCCTTGCAAGTGGTGTCAGAATGTTATGTTTGTCTAGCTTGCAGTGGGGTACTCAATAGTGAGTACAGCCCAATTTAGGGTTTGCTATATGTACTCAACTGCTTGCTAGTGAAACCCCTCACTTCCTTCCATTCCTCATTTCTTCACATGGTATAGAGCTGGTTCCCTCCTGGGACTGTTCCTTCCTAGGGCCCACCACTTTGCTAAATTTTTTTTTTTCTCTGCCCTGACCTTAGCGCGTTTTGCGCTCTGCCCTGCTACCTTCGTGGCCCCTTCGTGGCCCCTTCTTGGCCCCTTAGCGGCCCCGTCGCCACCCCTAGCGGCCCCGTCGCCACCCCCTCTAGGCCCCTCGCGGCCCCTTCGCGGCCCCGTCGCCGCCCCTAGCGGCCCCGTCGCCACCCTTCGAGGCCCCTCGCGGCCCCTTTGCGGCCCCGTCGTCGCCCCTAGCGGCCCCGTCGCCGCCCCTTGCGGCCCCGTTGCCGCCCCTTTCGGCCCCTCCCCGGCCCCTTTACCGCCGTGTCGTCGGGCCGCCTAGCAGCCGAGCCCTTGTCGCGGCCCTGCCCTTGCCCTGCCCCGGCCTTGCCCCGACCCAGCCCCGGCCCCGCCCGGCCATGCTCCGTCGCCTGTCGCGGCGCACCGGGGACCCGTGCACCGCCCCCCCCCCTCTTTTCCCGTCGCCCGTCGCGGCTCCCTGGGGGGCCACCTGGGGGGTGGGGCGAGCGTTGCCCCTTCTGCCGCCTGCTTTGGCGCCCTGGGAGGCCGCGCGTCGCCCCCCCCCCCCCCCCGTAACCTCCCTACCCGCCATCCCGCCCTGCCCTGTGTTAGGGTTTGGGGGTGGCAAGTAGGGGGTGGCGGGTGTGTGGTCTCCCCTGCTCCTCCTCCTCCTCTGTCTCCCACTGCTGCAGCTGCCGCTGAGGGGGGTGGGTGTGTGGGAGTCAACAGAGTGGTGCTAGGGGGTGGGGTGTGAGTGAACCTAGGGTGCAGCAGGGGGTGTGTGAAAGGGGGGTGGGATAGTTTGGGGTGGTTGAAGGGGGGTGGCCGCCGTGAAGCCCGCAGCTCCAGTCGCCCGTGAGACCGTTGCGCCAGTCGCCCGTGAGCCCGTTGCGCAAGTCGCCCGTGAGCCAGTTGCTCCAGTCGCCCGTGAGTCCGTTGCTCCTGCCGCTCAGAGTTAGCCGCGGAGCCAGTTACTCCAGTAGCCCGTGTGCCAGTTGCTCCAGTTGCTCCAGTTGCCCGTGTGCCAGTTGCTCCAGTTGCGCCGTGTGCCAGCAGCTTCAGCTGCCGCCCACTACCTCCTCTCCTCTCATAGTCCCTCCCCCTCCACACTTTCCCTCGGTGATAGCCTCTAGCTTTGCTTACATTTGTGAACTTTAAACTGTTGCTTCTTGTACTTGTGCTCAGATTGTGTGGTGACATTGTGATCCACCCTGAGCTTGTGTTTTGCTTGCTTGTTGTGCTGATTACATCCCACTTTGGCTATGGGGGTGTGTCAAAATGTTATGTTTGTCTAGCCTGCAGTGGGGTACTCAATAGTGAGTACAACCCAATTTAGGGTTTGCTATATGTACTCAACTGCTTGCTAGTGAAACCCCTCACTTCCTTCCATTCCTCATTTCTTCACAAGTGGTGCAACTGCGGATGAAGGAATATGAAATTAGGGAAGCATTCAGGAGGAGGGGGAATTTGAGCTTCGAGAACGGGAAGGTTGCGGAATGGTGTGGAAAAGCAAGCAACTGGGCTGGAATGTTTTGTCAGAACTTATAGTTGTAACTGCCTGTAGCTGTAGTTAGTGTAGTTATTATAAACTCTGTTAGGTGGTGCACCTTCTTTGTTCTCATGCTATATGTTCTTCGAAACCTATAGTGAAACCACTCTTTCTCAACTTCCTCGACACCTTGGCACAACCCACTCGATCTCCTTGGCCGAAGCTACTAAGCCTAGGCCGTCCTATACTTTAAACTACCTAGTAAGCTAGGATTCTGACATGGTTTCAGAGTGTGTTTCGTCCTAGCGTGTGGGCCCGCCTAATGTTTCCGCTGCTATTTTTCCGGTCGCGCGCCTAGGGCGCGTGACGATTTTCGTCTTGTCCCGCCCCCGGTTGGCGAGTGACTCCTTCTCTGCCCGTCGCGCGCCCCGTGGCACGCGACGGTGCTCTGAACCTGCCAGTCGTGCGCCCCGTGGCACGCGACGGTGCCCTGCTCGTCGTGCACCCCGAGGCACACGACGGTGCCCTAAACTTAAACTTGCCCGTCGTGCGCCCTGTGGCACGCGACGGTGCTCTCCGCACCTGCTCTCCCTGCAGCCGCCCCTGACCTACATGCGCCGACACTATGTAGCCGCTCTGCGGCTTTCTTCCCGCCCACCCCCTCCTCCTTTGTCTCCCTGCAGCCGTGGGGGGGAGGGTATGGGGGTGGCGGGTGTTGGAGTGTTGGGTCGTATACTTCCCTTCCCCTCCTCCTCCTTTCGTTCCCACTGCTGCAGCTGCCGCTGGGGGGGAGGGTGTAAGGGTGTGGGGGAGCAGGGGGAGTGGCACCGGGGTGGCGGGTGTGAGGCAACCAGCAGCCGTCCCTCCACCTCTCCTCTCTTCCCCCCCTCTCTGCTGCTCCTGCAGTAGTGTGGGGGAGGGGAAGGAGGAGGGTGAGGAGATGGAGGGGGTGACCAGCCAGAGTTAGCCCGCCTGCAGTACCTGCTGTTGCTTGTTTATTATTCTGCTTGTGTAACCCTGCAGGCTGTATTCTGCACAAACTCTTGCTGCAGGCAGTTATGGGGGAGTGTCAGAACTTATAGTTGTAACTGCCTGTAGCTGTAGTTAGTGTAGTTATTATAAACTCTGTTAGGTGGTGCACCTTCTTTGTTCTCATGCTATATGTTCTTCGAAACCTATAGTGAAACCACTCTTTCTCAACTTCCTCGACACCTTGGCACAACCCACTCGATCTCCTTAGCCTAGGCTACTAAGCCTAGGCCGTCCTATACTTTAAACTACCTAGTAAGCTAGGATTCTGACATGTTTGTCTGCGCAACGTGCTGAATCCTAAAGAAATTGATGCGAAACGCACTGTACCGTACATATATCAGAGGCAACCGATTGTGGCCGTGCTAAAAGAAGTGAATTGGGAATGCAGCACAAAAACTGGGGAAGAGGGTGTGGGTGCCCCGAATCAGAATCCCCATGTCGCGTGAGTGCTGCGCGCGTTGAGAAGGCATTGGGGGAGAGCGTTCACCTCGTGCACTGAATGGAGGGAAAAGATGACGCGGTGAGCTGGATTGTGGTCTTCAGCCAATCGGTGATGCTATAGACACGGTGGCAGAAGATGATTCCACGTTACAGATCCAGATTCAAGGGTTCTCTTTCTGCAAAACCTCGCTCTTGTTAGACCCGTTTCAAGAACAGATAAGTACTGCACTTGTGGTGTGCAATGCCATTGTAAATATATAATCATCTGTTAAGTAGTCACTGTAATAGACCTGCCTGTTCCGAACTCGGCAATCCCAAACCTAACACGTGGACAACGAACTCCGTCGAGGGACACGTCACCTCACCCAGACATCCCCAGGGTTGCGCTTCGGCTTTCCATATGCTCCGTCAGCCCATCCTCCCTTCCTTCAATTGCCTGCATCAGTCACCTCCTTCCTATCCCGATCATTGCTTTCTAGGGCGATGTTCGGCTGCCACAGGGGATGGGGGGAGGGGATGGGATGGAGCATCAGAACGCCGAGCCTCCTGGTTTGATCTGTTCGAACCAGGTAGAAAACTTCGGTCAGA